CTCTCTAATCAATTCATAGTGAAACATGCAATTATGGCAACACCCATTGGTTTTGTGAATATGTAAAGCATTCTTTGCATGTTTTTTATTCATGAATATTCTTTTTATTTCCATCCCTTTCGCTCTTAATATTTGAATAGGTTTCACCTACTTATAAGAACACTTGTCATACTTCTCTTAAGTTGCTTCACTCTTTCTTGCTTTGCCAGTGTCACCATGGCGTGAGATCGTCGCAGGTTGCAAAATGGTTGCAGACACAGGTAAGCTGTATTTTAGTGAAATAATTATTATATTTAGGCTTCATTTGAGGTAGTTTTTTTATTGCTTCTTAAAGCAGCTTTACAGTAAAAAATTAAATTTTATGTACTAAAAAATTATTTTAAGAAGCAGTAAAAAAGCCATCCCAAATGAAGACTTAGGCTTCGTTTGGAGCGGCTTTCTTGTTGCTTCTTAAAGCAGCTTTCTAGTTTAATAATTAAAATTTTTGTACTAGAAAGCTGCTTTAAGAAGCAACAAGAAAGCCGTCCCAAACGAAGCCTTAATGATATTATAGGCCACTGTTCCTCCCCATGAACTTCAGGATGTTTTTGCCTGCATTTTGCTCTGAGATGCGGAGATCTGTATTATTTTTTGTTCTTCAATCTCTATGGCTACCTTCTGTTTATTTTTTTAGCAACCATAACATTCCTGAACTATGAAAGTAAAAAAGACAACACAAGATCCATGATCAATCATCCATCAAAAGCAAAATAACAAAATAGGCTCTGTTAGTAGCTGCAGAAAAAAAATTGTCTCATGACTACTTAAGAATTTAATTTTTTTCTTCTTTTAATCATTTGTTGTGGCATTTTGCAGGGATTCAAGCGTGTGTTTAACGTGTCAGGAGGAATTCATGCTTACTCTCTCAAGGCCGATCCCTCTGTTCCCACATACTGAACTGTTTCATTCTCCTGCTGAGAAATTATTCAAAGTTCTCCATTTGATAGGCAAAAACTAGTTTTCTTTGAAGAGGCAGATTTGTCTTTGAAGATAACGTTGATGTGATAAAATTAAAATTATTGACTGAGAAAGTATTATGTTGGAGAAATGGTAAAAATGATATAGTAATAATGGTTTTATGCTGAGTTGTGAAGTTTTTTCGTAAATTTGACAAAAAAAAAAAAATGGAGGTGCGGGGAATCGAACCCCGTGCCTCTCGCATGCGAAGCGAGCGCTCTACCATATGAGCTACACCCCCATAATGTCAAGAGTGCGATGACAATCATATATATATATATCTATTAATTAATAAAATCAAAGTTAGTTAGGATGCATTTTAATTTTAATTTTTTTTACATATATTGAGATAAACGCAATATAAGATCAGATCAAAAGTTTTGGGACACATCATAATTAAAATTTGTGTGATATATTGATTTTTTTTTTCATAATTGATAAATGTAAGCCAGTTGTTACTTTGAAGTATTGAATCTTGGAGCAATTGAGGGTTATAAGATAATGATTAATAATAAATTGGGTGAGGGGGTATAATATTAGATCTGGCACCGGGTGTATGTGAGATCTCGTTCCCTTACTGTTCCTCTATGAATTGGATTTTCCTCCCAGGATCGGCCGGGACGATATTGAGATCGTCCAGGCCGATCAGTGCATTGAAAACGGCTGATTTTTGGAGTGTTCTCTGGAATGATTTCTGGACTGGATCGTCCAGGCCGATTTTGGATCGGCCGGGGATGATCAGATGAGACAAAAATCCCGAGAGCAAAATCGAAATTATCGGCCTGAAGAATCGTCCGGGCCGATTTGATTTTGTTCTGATCGGTCAGGACGATGTGGCGATCTGCCGGGCCGATCAGACTAATGTTATAAGGAAATCAGCTCGATTCGAGGAGAGAGAAAATCAGTTATTAAAAAATATCTGATTTTGAAGAGAGAGAAAGAGAAAGGAAAAGAGAAGAAATCTTGGATTTCGGAGGCCGCGGAGCGCTTTTCGTTCGCCGCCACTGTTGAAAGAATTGAAGATCTAGTGGTAAGGACTCCGAATCCTATTTCTGTTTTCAGA